AACAATGTATATATACTAAAATATAGGATTAAAAAAATAACTACTAAGTGAAATAGTTTATATGATTTCATAGATTTATTCATTATCATAATACATATGGCTTATTATCCTTTATCTATTATCGATTATAACTGAACATAAAGAAAATGCATGACTTCACAAAAATAAAAACTTGAATAGCAACATAATAGTTATAACAATCGCACCTTCAACTTGATGTGATTGTGATGGAAGTTCATCCTCTATATGTGTTGCTACTTCGTCACACATGTGCCGGTTATCGGGAAGACACACATCCAAAGATTGCTCTATGTTATTTACATTAATTGTCCCATCACTCCAAGAGCGATTAAATGGTAAATGCGAGACTGTAGATGGAAATATAAAGAGTTTGAAATCAGCATCGTTTCTATATGCATTTTCATTATGTAATTGATAATTGATATTGTGAAATTATAATGATTAAAGTAAGAAGTACCATTAGTTTTGTCAACGAAAACATCAGATGACATGTTGTGATTAGGCAACAGACATTTCTGAACATTTTGATCAACATTTTGTGTCCACAAATGCAATTAAACACAAATATGTTGTCAGTTACACTCTCCCAATAAAATAGAAATTTTTTATATATAAGACTAAACAAAGGTAGTGATTTTATTCCGTTCATAATAAGATACATATATGATTATTAGTTTTGGTAATATTGTAATCACATTAATTGGATAAGGTAGTAAATATCACATTTATTAAGTATATGAATTTATTCATTGTTTATTATCATTATACAAAATATCAATTATAACTTATGTAAATTACAAATATAATTAACCCAAAAATTCAACCCCTTTAAATATAGATAAAATCCAGATCAATTTATTTTTCCCCTCCCATTCCAACCAACAACCAATACATAATAGAATACATTTTTTTAACCACAATCTAGCCCATTTACATAAATAAACAAAGCCCAACATCGTCCAACACCCTAATACATAACACAGAGCCCAAATTCGACCACCCCACCCCAAACCCTTCATATATAATCCTCTCCAGCCCTTCGTCACTCTATTAACCAACAGATAAAACTCCTCCCTCCACCTTCAACCTTCTCGCTGAACTAACCCTCCACTCCACCGTCAACCTTCTCGCCGAACTAACCCTCCTCTCCTCCTTCAACCATCTCGCCGAACTAACCCTCTTGTCCACCTTCAAAGCTCTCACCGAACTAACCTTCTCTCCACCTTCTACTCTCAGCCGAAGGCTGGATCTCTCACCCCTACTACTCTCATACCCGTTTATGAGTATGTTTCTATTTCGAATAATGTTATCTAAAGACTGTGATTTTGAATGTTTAGACTTCTAGTGAAGTTGAAGTTTGTTATCAATTTTTTTTATATAGTGTGATTCTTTATTTTACGATGATTTTTTAAAATCGTAGAACACATGTCGAAATTTGAATAGATCTATGTAGATCTCCGATTCTTTGGTTCGGTCATGTGTTATAATTGAACGATGATCATTTTTCTGCGCTTAGATCTAATTAGATTTATATATTTTTCGGTTTGAAAATATATACTTTTGAGACATGTAGCATGCGTTGCGTTTAGATCTCTCTAGATATATGGATTGGTGATGTGTATATGTCTCCATCGTTCTAGATCTGTTTAGATCTATCAATTTATTCGATTGAACCTGAAAACAACCAGTCATGTAGCATTTGTGGCTTTCGGATCTGTATAGATTCATGCCTTTGTGATGTGTACATGTCTCGAATTGTTACTTCAGCCTTTTTTTTTTCGAATTAGAATTGTGTAGATAAAAAATGGTTCATCCATGCTGTAATATCATACATGTAGCATTTGTTGTGTTGAGATCTGTTAACATCTGTGCATTTGTGATGTGTACATGTATTGATCACTCTAGATCTGTTTAGATCTACCAATTTTTTTGACTAAACTTGTATAAATATATGACATGCATCATATGTCAGTTTAGATCTGTCTGGATCCAATCATTTGTTATGCGTACATGTCTGTATATGTGATTTCAGTCATTTTGTATAAATTTAAATTTGTCTAGATCAAATACTTGTTCATCCATGTTATAACTATACATGTAGCATGTGTGTACGTTTATACTCTGTTGCACCTAAATTGGGCCTTGGGCTTCGCATTATGAAATTCCATGCCAGCCATTTAATGACCTTCAGATCTGCGCGGTTTGACAGGCGGCCCATTGCTCAATACAATCGATTTACTGATCTTGTAACAACTGCTTGTAGCTCAACTGTCCGTATTTTTTATTAAATTTTAACTTTAAATATAGAGTGGTTGTCATCATACCTTGATTAGCTAAATCTTGATGTGCTCTCTTACGGTTGATTATTGTTGATTTAGTCAGCCTCCTCATATTTAAATGGGTCCTAGATACATTACCTGGATTCATTACATTGATTGATTATACTCATAAACGGTTGTTTAAACGACATGCATCATACATACCTTTATATCACGTGTTTTAAAGATACTCATATAATCAATGACTATCACTCATTTAATACCTCTATACGTTAAAACATAACACATTTGCTAGAAAGACATAAAAACACGACAAATGCATTTTCTCATGCATGGTACACATGATTCCTATTACATATTCTTAGTGAAGTCTGCCTCTAGTCATCCATTTAAAGGAAATGCCTACAATCATATCATCATTAAAGTACTTCCTATTCATATTCAAAATCCTATCAATTTTTCTTGGTATGATAAGAGATCCATCCAGCCAGTCATCACAATCTTTGCATAAGTAGTCAACAGTGTTCCTTTTCTTGGTCCAAAAGGTGGAATCTCCCACCCCAGGAGCCCCCCATACCCTGACCCGACAGGATTTTTGGGAGGATGTTAATCACGGTGACTCAGTCGGCCCAATGATGGTAGACCTTTTTCCCGTGCACACCATAAGTCCAGCCTTATTTCAGGTTCTGTGACCTCCACACGGCCGCTGCGGGTTTCGAACCTTAGTCACTTGGTCCAAATTTCCCACCACTGAACCAACAATGTTCCTTTTCTTGTTTACTTGCTTAATGCAGAAAAAGTGACTATCATTTGAGTTACGCCATGAGCATGCATCCAGTAGGATTCCCACACAATGTTTCCCACACATATAGCATCCCCCCGGTTTTACTTGACATGAACACTCACTCATCTTGAAAGGCTACAATATGTAGTAGGTTATAAAACACCGTAAATCGTAAAGTATCTTACAAATTGGGACGGAGGGAGTACAATACCTTGCTTAATATTATACTTTTGTGGTAGTTAACATAAATCTAATTTTTTTTTATTGCTTACATATATTATTAGTTAAACTTAAATGACTTTGGTGATTTAGAAAAATATAGAGTAAATCGGACATGACATTAACGGAAATCTGTTTTGATTTCTTTAGCTAATGATTCCATCTATTTTTTTCAACTGACCTATCAAAATTATAATTTTCGTACTGTGCCTTATTTCCCTCTATGAATGATGAAATGTGTTTTATTTTGAGCACACATCAAGACGTATTTATAGTAAGTTAAATCAACTTCATTAATTTTTTCCTAGATGCAAATGTCAGCTTTTACTTTGTGACTACTAGATTCGCACCCGCGCGATGCACGGGATATTAAAATGTAATAGCGATATGTTTTTTTATAAATATTACTTAGTCGTGTGAAATAAATGCAAATTGTCATAGACGTAACATGCATAATAAATTATAAGCAAAGATTGGATAGTGATAACTCTGAAATGGGTGGTAACTTTTGTTTTGGAATGAGTAGGAAAAATGTAAATGTTATAAAAGAGTATGTCTCAATATCTTCACCACATATCAATATCTGCAGTGCGATGACCTACACATTGCGAAAAACTTCCTTATGATTTGTTAACATTATTAGTTAGTACGTAGATGAATGCTCGAAGAGCATAGCTGTAATACATGCAAAAAACTTAATTAATGAAAAGATGGTTACGTCTCATGATTGGTACGAAGTATGTTTTGAAATAAAAAGAAATAAATAAATATAATAATAATGTTTCCAGAACAAACACATTTTGAAACGCTTTCCTGTGAACAACATTGGTAGTATGTTCGATTTGTTCATCATCTCCATTTTAAATTTCATTTATCGATTAATCTTTCTTTTAATCATATTCAGGAATTTATCCCTAAATGATACAGAGTATAATAATAAAAATATTAATAAATAAAATCCAAATAATATTCAACCAAAATAATAATCATAATAATATTATAATTATAACAACAATAATAATTAATAATCATAACATTAATAATCTGAAACATTATACTGTTTTTACTTGGACTTATTTCAGTCTCAATCCATACCAGATCAGTTGAGACCACACTTCAATAGTTGTAGAATACGCAGAGACTGTACATTTACTACACCAAGTCAGCTCGGACCAGAAAATTTCAGTAGAAATAAAAAACCTAATAATATAATAACAATCATAGAAAGATAACAATAATAATCATAATAATAATAAAAAACTATAATCAAACAATATAATTATAATCCTAATTAAATATTAAATATATTTGACAAAGTCCAATTCAAATTTAAAATACCAATATTTTAATAAACTTTAGGAAAAATTGAAAATAATAATCCCAACTATTGCCGATCCGCTAACAATAATCTCTTGATTATTTTTGTATAATCCCAACTATATGTACCATTCATCAATAATGGTCTATGACCGCATATTACATGCTCTAACAAGTGAATTTTTAATAGAAATTAAGAGTAAAAATTAAAATTTGGGATTATTTATGAGAATTACCTGCTATATCTTTTTAGAAACTATAAGAATTTATTTATAGTCGGTCACGTCGGAGCATTATTGACGAAAAGTCCCTAAAATTGGAATTATTCTGAAATAATCGATAGTTGAAATTATTATGAACGGGCCGTCGATAATTAAGATCATTATAACCAATTTTTCCTAAACTTTAAATCAGGCCAGCCCGATCTTTCCAACAACTTAAACCTAACACGCCCTAACTAAACTTTTCTCCCTCCTTCGCCCACCTCATTCATCCGTACATCGAGACCTCTCAAGGCATCGTGTGTTCTTCCGCTGACCATCGTCAGTGATTATTCCGGCTGAGGTAAAACCAAAGAATCTCAAAGCACGTCTACCATCGTTTCGTGATTTTGGTTTATCCTTTGCATCCTCGTCGTCTTACTGTGATTTTCTTGAACGGTTAGGTAATTGAATTTCTTTATCAGTTTGTCCATGCATACACTCGTTATTGTGATTATATACATGTATAGTTGCATATGATTTGGCCATAAATTGCATGTTTCACAGATTTATATTGTTATCTGTAAATCTGTAATTTATAGCAACAAAATACCTCTTTAGATTCATTTACATGGCTAAACCTATGCCAATTTCTGAAAATGATGTATACATATTTGTGTTTTTAAATGCCAACATTTGTGAAATTCTGGATTTAACCTAGCCGCTATCGAATTTTTGATATAGGATGTCTTCTTTTAAATCCTAGATAAAACATGACATTGTATTTTGGATACATCTATGCAGATTTTTTTAATTGGTCTGTGAGACTGTGATGCGTGAAATATATAACTATTACACATATTTCAAACGGATTAATTTAAAACTTACTTCATCCATAGTTTTTGTAAGTAAATATATTTATTTCAAAGGTCACTATAACAGTTTATTTAAGAAAAATAGCAGTAAATTGAACTTGTCCAAAAGTTTGTAAATAGACACAAAATATAATTATGAGATGCATTTTAACATGATATTATCTCTCATGTTGCAGGTTTAATCCAAAAGGATTGATAATATTTGGACCTGAGTAAGGTACTCAAATGGGTATCATTCATAAATGAAATGTAATTATTAATTAGTTAAGATTAGGGATTGCAGGTATTTTATATTGCATGCTTAACACAATATTTATCAATTTAATGACGACGTAAATATCTTATAAACATTAAACACCTAAACCTACCCGACCCAAACTGCTGTATAAAATCCATTTTATACTTACCTTACTCCCGTACATCACCATTTGTAGACCCACCGGTTACAGAGTTAGACCGATGGTCTCAACAATTTTCCGCCGACTCCTTCATCTACTCCTTAGTGATCATGCCTTTAATAAATGCAGTTAAGGGTATGTTTATATATTACCTAAAAACATTTTTCTAAATGTATACTTTTTTAACCTTAGTTCTAGAGTCGTTACTTAATTTAAAACTTTAGAATGATACTACTATCATTCAACTAATTTAAATAATTAAATATATGCTTGGGGACTTTTCTAGTTATATCGACATTTCAATAAAAACTGTTTTACAAACACACACACACTAAAAACATCTATTTTTAATTAACAATTGTTTTAAAATTTGAAAATATTTGGGCACAAATTAATGTTTTTAATATTTTCAATGCCTTATTGTATTTAATATATGCCAGTAAGGTATAGTTTGTTGCCACCTTCATGATTTTTATAATGTTCTTGTCTTATAAATTTAAGACCATGTCAGGCCACCCCAACCAACTCAGTTTATTTAATATTCAAACTGAAATCCAACATCTGTTTGTTTTCCACAATTTTTTTCTACCTTCAACTCTGATTTGGAAAATATTTTAAAACCTACTTTACTTCTAAATATGACCTTGAACTTGGCAATTTTAGTATTCATGTGCAAGACACACTTTATTAGATATAAGTATATACTTATATATATCAGACTGTGAAATCTATTAGCATTTCTGTTAGAATTTATGCATCTAGTACTTTAAGCTAGTACTTTAAGCTAAAAAGTGTGTTATTATTATTGTTATATTGTCATTCTCATTTGTTCTTTGTTTTATGATACAGTTCTGACTGTAAAATCTATTAGCATAACTGTTGGAATTTAAAAAATGTATTCCTTAGGTTTTCAGGGGCCTTCTTATGCTTCCCATGTCTGTAATATTCATTAGTGATCTAATAATTATTTATTAGATTAGAATACGAATGCAGGGTCCCCTCTGTGCAAAGCGAAATGGCCGGGTATGATAAATACACATCTGATTTATTATGAATCACAGAACGGTTTTTTCAAACAAAGAGTAGAGTTTGAACTGCTGAAACCCGAAGACAAAGTTTGGAACATTTTCAAGTTATCCATAACGAAAAATTTCTTGATGCTTAGAAAACGTTTTCTTTTATTCTTTACCTAAGCATTCCCAGTTGTGGACTTTTTATAACAACATGAATTTTATCTCCCTACAAAGAAATTTACATTTGTTATAAAATGCCTTAGCTAAATATTTAGAACATAAATATTGGTATAATACAACCTCTTAATCAAGGAACCCCATTTTCAGGTATCACAACATGTTTTCTCTTATTTTGTATGTGAACAATCGTAGATGTGGCCTCTTTATCAAACCATGAATTCTGTCTCCCTGCATGAACAATGTGTATTTTTAGTAAACTGAAATATTTTAATACAAAAGTATGCAGATTATACTCTATCCTCTGAGATAATATAAAAAATACCTGAGAGTCAATGAAAACCAACTCTATCCTCTGCCCCCCCGGACTAAGGTGGCATTTCATAAGCTCTCACCACCTTCACATTAATAGTCCAAGTAGTCTTGTTGTGATCAATCTCTCAGAAATGAGTACATTCCTTGTTTTGCCGCCATTGAAATGTTATGAGAGTGGATGATGCTGTGTGTGGGATAGAATATGAACTCAGTCAAGTAGCCTATTTATACTGATGTAGAGGTAAGCAGTGTTGTAGTATGTAGTGGTCATTAACTTTAATAACCAATGGACAAAATTCACTCGGTTTTATTGAAAAGTTAAAATTTAAAATCAGATCTCTTTGCTGCTTAGCATTAATGGATATGTACTTTTAAGATTTTATATTATATTTTGGTTGGCTCAAAAAGATATGAAAGTACACATCATTTAATGCAAAATCTTTTGTGAAGACAATCTGTAAATTGGCAACACAAATTTGAATCTGGTCAAATTTCTATTACTTTAATAGTTTGCTGCTGCTTTTGCTTTTAATGTTCAAAAAGTTTTGAAAAGACCCAATGTTACCACAATAAATGCAATCCCATTCGGCTTCCCAAAGCAGCAAAGTTTATTTTTTGGCTAAGGACTTGACCCTAAATCTTTGACCCGTTTTTTGACCAGACTTGACAATTCTGACCCGGTGGTTTGTGCGGGAATTTTGGCTACTTTTCCACAACACTTTGTATATAGAAACATTTTTATAATCCCTCGAATTTAATTTACTTTTTCAAAGAATATGTTTTATAATTTTTTTAAGGCCACTGTTGTTATGATTTCTAAAGTATTATGTTGGTTATAATAATATTTATGTCCAAAATATGTGGTAAATACTATGTTTATTTTTTTATTCCAGGTGTGCGAGGATAATCAAGATTTGTGTTTATGGTAAGCAACTACACCTTCCACACTATAAATTAATATTTATAGAATTATATATATTTTAAATATTTTTGTAAGCCCAGATATCAACCCTCCCTCCCATCACTATTAAAGAATAAGTCATTATACGCAACATTTTGTAAACACCGATAGACTGCATAATAGGCTAGAGGTCAATCCAGAATTGATTGGAGTTAGGAGGGATCCAAATTAAATTAGAGGGATAGAAGATCTGTAGAGTTGTGTTTGAGCTTCAGAATATTTGAACATAGATCTAAAAAATTCATTAATGAATCAAATATCTGTAATTGGGTTTCATATCTTGATAATTGAAACAGCCCTTGAGCGGCATGTAGCATAAAAATAAAATACCTAATGGAGAGTTGTCGAATATGATGCCAAAACGAAAGGTCAGCTTATTAAAGTATCGTGGAAATTTGAACAGCATTTAAACGGTTTAAAGGGCGTACTAATTGTACAACATTTAAACCACCAAAATGAAAGCTTTTTATGAATCCGAGGGGAAACTAACTAAAGTAAGAGGTATGTGCATAGTTTAACAAAATCAACAATGCAGATTTGCAATCAAGAAAGTTTGAATTTAGCAACCCGTATGAGCTACAAAGCCAAATCATCACAATAATAAGCAACAATATGATGTATTACAATCAATTCAGATCCGAGTAATGAATTCTCACTTAATTGGAATACCTGTCGGTGAATATCTAAGTTTGGAAGAAAGCTAGTAAAAAAGTTTGATAATGTCGGTAGAATGTTAGAAACATAATATACGCACCCTCTCTCAGCAGACACATATGCCCTTTCACCTATGCCCCTGCATCTCCTATGCCTTGCAGTTGTGCTTTTTTTTTTCTAAATTCGTTTCATTGTTTTTAATTTGATAATCCGGGGTTTTTCAATATACTCCCTCCTTCCACTAGACTTTGTTAACTTTCCTTTTTTGTTTGTCCCAAAAAACTTTGTTACTTTCTTTTTAAAGCAATGTTTTTGTTGCTCTGTTCATTTCTCTCTCCTCTGCACAAATTTCAACCATACAAATTTTACTATTCTAATTTCTCACCTAACATCAATTTGGCAAAGTTGAGTGGAACGGAGGTAATACTTCCTACATTCTTTAAAAGTTGCGATATTTTTTTTTTTATTTTTCGAACATTTTATTTCGATAAAGATTTTTTAATACTACCTCTGTCCCTTAAAACTTTGCCAAGTTTGACCGGTACGAGGATTAATAAAGTAAAAACTGTGTGGTTGAGATTTGTGCAGAGGAGAGAGAATTAACTGGAATCACAAATTCTTTACTTAAAAGAAAATTGGAAAAGTTAGTGAGACATCCAAAAAAGGAAAGTTGACAAAGTTTTAATGGACGGATGAAGTAATGTATATAATCAAACATATAAGAAATGATAAGAGGAATACAAAATTACGCTAGCCTCTCAGTCGGTCAGGCAGACAGAGCGCAAACCCTAGCAATCGGCGGCGCCGATCCTTGACCTAGATCGATCGATTGAGGCGTCGCACCAGTGGAAAAGGTTGTGAGGAGATCAGCGCTTTACGAGAGGGAATGTGCTGAAGGTAGGCAGGGTGTTCGAGAACTAAATTAGCAACAAAGAAGCTGTGGTCGTCTCTAAGATCTTCCTTGGAGGTTTTTCGGAGGTGGCTCCTGTCACCTGGCTTGGTTAGTCCCTGCGGCGTCCCCGTTGGCTGAAGAACAGAAAAAGATGAGCGCCCTCAGCTAGATTTGCAGAGGTCTACGAAGCTCGTAAACAATCCAGTACTTTGCCGGTGGCGGTGATCTTGTACGGGTAGAAAGCTCTACGTGAATGTTTTTGTGTTTATGGTAAGCAGCTACACCTTTCACATTATAAATTAATATTTATAGAATTATATATATTTTAAATAATTTTGTAAGCCCTACGTGAATATTTTGGAACAAAGCGGCTTTAAATTGATATCAAAGCATTCAACAAGGAAACACGAAAGTAAAATGATCACTTCCAACCACCGACCCTCGAATCAGACTTAGAGTCAATCACATTATAAATTAATATTTATAGAATTATATATATTTTAAATATTTTTGTAAGCCCTACGTGAATATTTTGGAACAAAGCGGCTTTAAATTGATATCAAAGCATTCAACAAGGAAACACGAAAGTAAAATGATCACTTCCAACCACCGACCCTCGAATCAGACTTAGAGCCAATCATCCAGAATAAAGCAATATGACTCATTGATCCTGTAATGGGTCTAAATGAGCCTAACATGGTTAAAGTAAACCTCTCACCACCCCAACATAATGCAAGAGTGGCAAAAATAAACGTACATCGACAATAAAACAACACAAAGATCAAAGTGAGAACACAACCAAACTAAAAAAAGTAGAAATAGTCTTCCAATCCCTAGTCGCACAATTCCTCCATGGCGGCGGTTCGAGAGGGGGTGGATCACCACCTCTTCGTCTTCTTTCATCGGCGAGATCGCCGCCACTGGCAAAGCACTGTATTGTTTCCGGGCTTCGCAGGCCTCTGCAAATCCAGCTGAGGGCGCTCATCTTTTTCTGTTCTTTAGTCAACGGGGACGCCACAGGACTAATCGAGCCAGGTGACCGGAGCCACCGTCGGAAAAAATCTTAATCGAAATAAAATGTTCGAAAAATAAAAAATCATAATATCGCAACTTTTAAAGAATGTAGGAAGTATTACCTCCGTTCCACTCAACTTTGCCAAGTTGATGTTAGGTGGGAAATTAGAATAGTAAAATTTGTGTGGTTGAAATTTGTGCAGAGGAGAGAGAAATTAACCTAGCCACAAAAGCATTGCTTTAAAAAGAAAATGACAAAGTTTTTTCGGACAAACAAAAAAGGAAAGTTAGCAAAGTCTAGTGGAAGGAGGGAGTATATTGAAAAACCTCGGATTATCAAATTAAAAACAATAAAACGAATTTAGAAAAAAAAATGCACAGCTGCAGGGCATAGGAGCTGCAGGGGCATAGGTGTCTGCTGAGAGAGGGTGCGTATATTATGTTTCTAACATTCTACCGAGATTATCAAACTTTTTTACGAGCATTCTTCCAAACTCATATCTTCACCAACATGTATTCCAATTAAGTGAGAATTCATTACTCGGATCTGAATTGATTGTAATACATTGTATTGCTGTTTATTATTGTGATAATTTGGCTTTTTAACTCATACGGGTTGCTAAATTTAAGCTTTCTTGATTGCTGATTTGCATTGTTGATTTTGTTAAACTATGCACAAACCTCTTACTTTAGTTAGTTTCCCCTCGGATTCATAAAAAGCTTTCATTTTGGTGGTTTAAATGCTGTACAATTAGTACGCCCTTTAAACATACATGAGTTCCGTTTAAATGCTCTTCAAATTTGTTCCGTTTTGGCGTCATATTCGACAACTCTCCATTAAGTATTTCGTTTTTTACGCTACATGCCGCACAAGAGTTGTTTCAATTATAAAGATATGAAACCCAGTTTCAGATATTTGATTTATTAATGAGTTTTTTAGATCTATGTTTAAATACTCCGAAGCTCAAACACCACTCTACAGATCTTCTATTACTCTAATTCAATTTGGATCGCTCCTAACTCCAATCAGTTCTTGATTGACCTCTAGGCCTATTATGCAGTCTATCAGGAACAATGTTTACGAAACGTTGTGTATAATGACTTACTAGTATCTTTACCCGTGCCTTGCACGGGATAAAATAGTTTTATCTTAATTTCATTGTATATGTGTGCAAGCGCACTGGAATATGTATAGTATGAGTTATTATAACCAATGGAAAGCTACTTATTTAATCGATTATAACACTGATTGATACTGAGTATTCTTATTTATTGAATATGTCTTATTTTTTAAATAATTATCTAAGCATGTTTTCAATCTATATTTTCCAATTGAAAGAGCCAAATTTTTAATAACTCTCGGTTGCATCCAAATAAACTTCGTCTTGTCAACCATCTTTACCTAAATAAAAAAGGGAAACTGGAAACTAATAATCCAACCTTTTAGTGGTCTACTTACAATAGTCCCACCTTTTGATTATTCATGAATAATCCAACCGTTGCACCCCATCTTCATTCAATGGTCCCTGGCCGATGGTCGATTTATGACCTGTTATTCCAAGTTATTTTCTTATCTTTGCAAAACATTATGTGATCATAAGGTGAGAATTATGGTATAATGTTTTGCAAAGATAAGAAAATAACTTGGAATAACAGGTCATAAATTGGTCATGAACCAGTGAATGAAGATGGGGTGCAAAAGTTGGATTATTCATGAATAATCAAAAGGTGGAACTATTGTAAGAAGACCGCTAAAAGACTATTGTAAGAAATTGCTCAATGCATATTTTTATCCATTAGATTTCAATTCATTCGTAACTTGCTGTTTTTTCAAAACTAATCACTATACATTTTTGTAATTTAGTTATTTAATAACGGGTGTGTTCATTTTTTTGAAAATATTACCCCTTCCAGGATTTAGAATTGAGCAAATTAGTCATTCTATCTCGTTTTTTAAGAAAAGAGTTTGAAATATATTATTTTGTGACATTTTGATTTTAATGAAGGTGACCACAACAACAATAAGTAATATAAGTGTTATTGAGGAAAACGCGATTAATAGCGGTCGATTTACTTTTCATCATATTGAATTATTGAGGATATTATGATATTATTAAGTAAAATAAATGTTATTGAACGAAGAAAGGTTACATGCTTTAGACTTCTAATAGGTAATTTTTACCAAAGCCAGCTGAATTAAATCTATAAAAATATTCTCACGTCAAGCGGCAGGTAAAATTGAAACATAAACAGGTCAAACAATGCAATAATAATAAAAAATGCCACATATTTAGAAACGAAAAATGACTTCAATATTATGACCAAGTAGTACTATATTATAGTTTCATCTATGAGTAAACGAATTACTCTTTATACAGAGCCTAACTTATTTTTCTATCTCTTA